TTAATAATATAATTATTAACAAATATACTATGAATACGTTACGTGTCAGTCTAGGGAACATTGACATTTGATATACACAGCATTTTCCATTGATAATACATTTAAGGTAATACAAAGTATTGGGAAATTTTGAAAATTGGGTGCATAGTGATTCTCTACATTTTTGATATATTTGGATGCCCCTGTGGATGTATTATAAGCACAAGAAAATCTAGCCTCTAAAACACTTCTGCTTTCGAGAAAAAATTAATATAAAAATGTACCGGTGCTCCCGGTAAATTTTGATAAATTTAAAATAGCGCCTACGGCCGTACAATGGTAACTGCAACCATGAAAATCTCAGAATATGTATATAGTTGTGATATATAATTTTCAAACGGGAATAGATAACCGGTCGATTTTATTCAATAAATATTGTTTTACAGCTTAATTAATATCCTGACCTTGTGAGGGAGCTATACAACATAAAGAGTTTATTATTTACATTTTCATAACGATAGACTCGATTTCAACCGCGACAACGATCACTGAATAATATAGGATCGCATATGCTTCCGATATGTTCATTTAAACCAAATTCATGACCCCAACCAAATTTTCGTATTACCTTTAAGATGCAAACATGCGCAGGAGATGAATTGCCCATGCCGCAACGTACGCCCCTCATCGTATAATAATGACCCCCATTCCTCCTCCTTGCCCCTGGTAAAAAATAAAATTATGTCATGCGGTAAATTTATGATTCTCGTTCAAATAGTCAATAAAATATTCAAATAATCATCATATGATTTAAGTAATCAATCTTTGCTGCTATATTGCAAGCAATTTATCATACTCATATACCATAAAATAGTAATTTGATTATAATTTGTAAACAGTTTACGCCCCGTTATAGGAGTAAAGAGGCATGTTATTGAAATAGATTGTAACAAATAAACCAAATCTCTTCAATTCAGAGAGTCGCAAACAACACTCACGTATAACAAAACAGTGTTTTGATTAGGATTGGTAAACATTCTTAATCAGAATAAAGAAAGATAAGGCTAAAACAATGTTAGATAATAATTAGAAAAAAACACTAATAAAAAGAAAATTAAAAAAAAATACCTTAACATAATATTTCTATCCTGATTGGTAAACACTTCAATAGGAATAGGAAGACGTGTTGCAAAACTATACAAACAAAAAATTAATAAATCCTAGTTCTTCTCAACGCTGTTGCATTATTAGTATATTATGATATATATATAAGAACATTTTAATGCAAACTTATGAATAAATATGATTTTCCTCTATGGCTGATGTTTGCATAGTACACAAATGATATTCATTGTATTGATCATTTTCGGAGGCATAGAAGGAAAAACAAAAAATAAGTTTTGAATAGTTAGGGAACTACAAAGCCAAAATAATTATAATATGCATTTTCAATGCTATTATAGTCATTGCACCATTATAAAGAAAAAAACAGCTGCGTCAATTTAATGCCTATAAATTGGACAAGTTTGTTTCTAAAGAATGACAGTTTGGTATGGCAAAAATATTATTACGTAATTAAAACAATTCAATGTGTATAATAGGCAATATATAATAGAGAGAGAGAGAGAGGGGGGGGGGGGGGAGAGAGAGAGAGAGAGGAATCCATTCTCTGTCTGCCTTTGTGCAAGAATTACTACGACTTCCCGGGTAGTATTTGTAGAAGTAATATTAGTACATGTCATTGTATTAGTAGTCGTTGTAGTAGCAGTAGCAGTAGTATTAGTAGTAGTAGTAGAAGTAGTAGCAACAGTATTGGGGTATCAATTCATTTCTAGCTTATCATGGTTAACCTCCTTTATCCTATATTATATGTTCCTGTGCAATGAACGTTTTTTTTCAAAATTTCGCAATGATAAAACCGTAATAATTCATACCAGTATAATACACGTCGCTTCTCCAAACAAAGAATTTAAATAGAACGTACCTCGTGATAAAGAAGGCTGGTAAGTTCTATCTTGCTGAGTTTGCATTATTCTAATATTGTCATGAACTGCTTTCGGTCATTATGATATCATAATGATGCGGCCATAAAACTCCTAATGGGCCAGTAATACAAATACACGTAGTTATTGACACACTGCTATCATGTACGCGATTTTATTTTAAAATTAAATATAGGATTTCCCGGCCAAATTCGCGTGTTTGTCATTCGAATTCATTTACTTTGCATTTAAGTTAGCGCAGATCGGCTTTGCCATGCCAATTGTAATTCAATTTTCCATTTTTTGTATTTAATTCAGGATTTTGGTCGAAGGGTTTCATAGATCTGTCATTCAATTTAGAAACTGCTCAACTAGAATTCAAATTAATATTCACTTGTCGAAGCGTAATTTTTATCATTCAAATTAACACCTGTCATTCGTATTCGTAATATTTGTATTCAAGTTAGGAATGTTAGGGAGAAGAATTGCAAAAACTTTTACAGTTTTTAAATAATGCAGTTAAAATGCATGATTTGCCATTGGGGTCTAAGCTGTTATTCCATTTATTTATTTTCAGGATAATGCAGATGGGTGTAGTCAGACATACGGTAAAGAAGGGGCGAAATCAAGGGATATGGCATTTCTGCACGGACATGTTCATATACTCGGGAAAGTTGGGGGTACCCTCAATCGCCCCTTTTTACTATAGACTCGGAATTTTACAAAAGTAATTCACATCGTCTCTTATACCCAGCACACCCTTCTGTTTTTCTTAAAGAGTTTCATAGTTTACTTGTCCGCTAGCAGATCGATGGCTAAAGACATTGCTATAATGAATCATGTTCAAATTGTTGACTCTAGTCCCTACCCCTTGCAGTCAATACAATATTGTACCCTTCTTCCATAATGAAATTATGATGAAATTATGATAAATTTATGATGAAACATAAGACAAACAACTTCCTTACATAAACATTTACAAATATACTGAGACCATCAGGTCCGTAGATGCAAGTCTTTTTTTTTCCTTCTTAACAATCAAACTTAAATGCTGATGAATATCAGATAAATCTAATAAGTATAAGTGTATAAATGCAATAAAACGAAATATGATGAAATACACATGAAAAAAACAATCTTGAAAGAAAAAGAATGAGCTATAAAAAGTGTGTAATAAACGAAAAATGCATATTGACCATCAATTTAAGTGCATAAAGTGCTAATTTGAATAATACAAATGAATTAGAATGCTAAAAGTACACCGTCGCGTTGTCAGAAAATCGTGTTGCGCTAAATCGAATGACCAAATAGCGAAAGGAACATTGTTCATTAATTTGAATGAAACATACGTAGATTCTAACGAAAATTCCATAGATTTGAAAACTAGAAAAGGGAATATAAACCCGAGATATACCTGACTGCACTAAAACCGTCGAATTTGAACGCCAGACAAATTAATTTGAATGACAAACTCGCGAATTTGGCCGGGAAATCCTATATTAAAGATCTTTACAAGCGTACCATCTGACTAGCAGAACCTTTCAGAAAAAAACATACATTCTGGAAATATTGCAGTTGTAACCGTAACCCCTCCCCCCCCCCACCCCCCTTTAATTTTGTTAACGAATTATAGCTAAACTGTGATTATTCATTTTAACATAAAAACTAGATCCATGAATGAATGATTGAAGCTTTGACATGAGTGACGGCAAATATTATTTTGTTTGACTCCGCGAACATTCATCAATCGCGAAAGTCCCCGTTGCAGCTATAATATGATAAACGAGTATAAAGGAACGAGTATCATTTATCCTTTGTTGACAAAAATATACACATTTAAGGTCACATTGTTTAATTTGTATAACGATTTATTTTGTATAGGACACATATCCACTAAGCCAGTGCTCAAGGAGCTCCAATATTTATTCTGCTAGGCAACTGATTTCAGTGGTCACAGCATTTAAGGAATCCGTTCCTACCGGTACCCATTCAACACATGGGTTGGGAGTGGCAAATGTAGATTAATGTCTTATCAAAGGACAATAGTGCCGCAGTGGGACTCGAATCGTGAACCATATGTTTCACAGTTCGACGACGTATGCACTAGACCACGACACCTCTAAAATATTATTTACGATTGTTTACATTCATATCAAGGAGTTTTATATTACCCTTGTGCGATGTGACCTTAAAAACGTGTGCAAAACGGGCTATATTTGGTAAAGGGAACGCGGCAATCATTCTGATTGGTTGTTTGAAGGGGTCACATTTGCAAAATGGCACGTAGGAGATGTTTTACAGGGCGTTGGAAAATTGACTGTCAGGAGTTATCATCTTGCACAGCGAATTTAACAAGTATCATTGCCGCCTAAGTCTTCTTAGTAAGTGGTCTACAGGTCTTCTGAAGAATTGAGGACACTCGGTCATCTGAACTGCAACGGAACATTCTTTCACTGACACAATATTCATAATTTTCATTTTACGAAGAGGAAATCGTGATAAAGGAGTATACTATTTATCAAGATTTTTGGTATAAATCTTTGCATTTAATACGCTACTTTCAAAATATCCCGACTGCCCTGGTTAAGTCCATTTTGAGTGTCATCAATCTCGGCCAAGATCGTATGATTGGGTGCCTATATACCTGCCGAAATACGGAATGTTATCATTATTACCAATGAAGAGAGCTGAAAGAAAGCTACGTTAGCCCACTGCTTCGCTTCGGCAGGTCAATCTTCACTAGATTCCATCTACTTCACTAGAATCCAACATCCAAGCAAGTGAGTATCGGCCTGGATTTTATGTAAATTAATGTGTATGTGATGTATATAAAGAGCTTTATTCCAAAATGTGCTAATTGCACTTTTGATCACAATTGATTTTTCTTAATGCATGTATTCATCGAACATTACAAAAAAGCTATCGCACTTTTTGAAATTATCCGGTACCGTCCTATCACTTTTCACATTTTTAGCATATGGTCTATGAAGTGACTGACTGAACTTATATGTTCCTTTTCTTTACATTGTCTCTATAGTAATGGCGATGCCAGAAGGTATTGTCGATGGTCTTCTCTCCCAGCTGGCTGATGACATCGAGACGGGTGAGCAGATGGAGGCCTTAGGACGAGCTCTTGGATTAAAACCCGCGGCTATCAATAGATACACAGAGACCAATAGGATAGAAGGACGGGTGACGTGTAAGGGAACACGTGACATGCTGTTTAAATGGAGGCAGACCGTGGTGCCTTGCAACCAGCATATCAGACTGAAACAAGCTCTCATTGACGCTGAGCTGGTCATGCTTGCCGAAATATATCTCAAGGGGACACCAAGCATTAGAGGTAGGTCCATCAGCGCCACAGTGCTTACAATCACTTTAAACTCTGAATACATTCAGCTTTAAATTGTGTTTAGAACATAAAATCCGAGCATTTCCAATTATCACTGGCGTAGCAAGGGTCCAATGGCACTGAATTTTAGTATGGTGAAGGACAGGGCTGTCCAATTCCTTTGCTCTCTGTCTCTCTATCTGTCTATCTTTTTTTTAAAGGTGTCTTCGCTGCGCGATGGGTGAGAGGGCATTTAGATATTACTGTAGTTTACTGTTCATAAAGTGACCCTTATAGTAAAACCGCTTGGCTTGCTTTCGATTTATATTTTAGGTAAATGTTTATTGTTGGGGTTTATCGGTTTATCTTTCTATCAATAATACGTAACATTGATAACAAGTTCAAATAATGAAATTGTACAAGTTAACCATTAAATTGGTATGAAATCACGGACAACTCTCCAGTTTGTCGTGCAAAAGAAAACCCCAATAATTTCTGTATTTTTTTCTCATACGTATCTTCTCCCTTCACTATTCAAAATATGTTACGAAAAGCATATCAATGCATATCTTTAAAAAAAGGTAGTTCCTCTGGACTAATACATATCGACAAATTGATTTTTAAGTAATTCCGTGTATTGGAACAAGAGGTATCCGCCACTATATATCACATTAACATGACTGATTCGGCTAATTTGAAATTATCTTACGTCATGTAGGCTACGTATACCGATTGCAACTTAAAAAACCCTCAACACGCTATTATTGTTTGTCCATTGTCGTCCACACTTTCGCCAGTCTGCTTCTCTATTTTGTTTGCTTTCTGTCAGAGCAATTTGCTATTAAGGTTGGATTTTCCTTTGCGTGTGTTTCCTTGCTTTTACTTCACGGGTAAGCGGGAAAATGTTGGCACAATAAAATTTGAAAATAAACAAAATTAACGGGTCCTATTTGGTCGGAGGGGGATATCGTGGGAATGTATTCACATCTGATATCTTCTTGTATGCTTTTATCATTCCAGATATCTTGAGTGAGAAGATCTCGGAGTCCTTGACTGTTCAGCAATGTCGCGAAAAGTTGAAAAACAGGTACCTAAATGAATTGTGCAAAATTCAAATGAAGCCCTGGGATCAGAATGACTATGCTAATTTCGAAGATATGCACACAGTGGTCACAATGGTGAAAAGGGACAATCGTGGACAAAACATGAACATGAAGGAAATACTCCAGGTTTCTGTATCTGACATATTTTCAACGATAGTAAATGGAACACTGCCAGCTCGAATCCTCATTTCGGCCCCGGCTGGACGAGGGAAGACCACAGCTGTTGCTAAGATTGCCTACGACTGGGTTCATAGAGAAAGAGGGTCAGCATTAGAACACCAGCTGCCACTTCTGTTCGCTGTGAAATTCCGAAACACAGATCAACTTACATCGATCGGAGAGGCCATCAAATCCCAGCTTTTGAGTGATGTCGCTGATCTTACACCAGAGGGTCTGGAGAGTTTCATCAGAAAGAATCAGGGAATCTGTCACATCATACTAGACGGGCTAGATGAGTATGCCGGTCTTCCTTCTACAAATCGAAGCTCAATCAGCAACATTGTCAAAGTCATCCGCTGGGAAGAATTTCCAGAGTGTCGAGTCCTTGTAACAACACGCCCTCACCTAGAGAACTTCTTCAATCAAGCGGAAATGCCAAGGGTATACACAAAGATGTGGATCGAAGGATTCTCTCGAGAGAGCTCTCGAGATTACATCGACAAATTCTTTGCTTCGAGTTCGAATCCTCATAGTGGAGATGGTCTGAAGGTTTACATTGATATCCAACCACTTATTGATGAACTTGTTAAAACACCTTTGTTTTGTCTCATGGTCTGTCACTTGTGGAGTATGGGCCTACTTGATAGTGGTACTACTACTCAAACAGAATTGCTGGACAGCGTGAATGTTTTTCTAATGCAGTATACAAACGCCCGATCCGAGTCGAGAGTGCAAATCACTCCCAAAATGTTAGGGAAAATAATTCTTCAACTAGGCAAAGTTGCTCTAACTGGTCTGCTCGACGATGCTAAACAACTAGTCTTCACGCCTCATGATTTCCGAAGGGTTCCCGCAGTACTTGATACGGCGTGTGAACTTGGGATAGTATCCAAGACGACTGTTTCATCAACATGCCTTCCTCAGTGCAACGAGACCACTTTCACTACGATTGAGTTTTATCACACAATCGCACAAGAACACTCTGCTGGAAAATTCCTCGCTGATCAAACGTACCATTTTCTGTTACATTTAAAGATTTCTAAGTTAGATAGAGTACTACGCAAGATCAAAGCAAAGATTGGTGACTACGAGAATCTCATCCGATTCGCCGCTGGCGCGGACAACAACCTCTGTATACGAATAATGGAGATGCTCCTTACAAACAGCTATTTGGATGAGAGCGAACGGTATCGCATTCTCCTTGACTGTTCATCAGAGACCAGGAGTACAGAAGGCAAGGTTTCTTCGTTGGTTCAAAGATGTGTGAATGCAGAGAGTATTGTTCTAAAGTCACCGACTGTCTACACCGTCGTTGGGGTGCAAAATCTTCCAGAGCAACTTAAACGTGAGGTATGCAAATTTTCTTTTGACAAAATGCGTTTACAATAATCTTTTCATCAACAAATGTTTAAGATTACATTTCTCTGCTGTAACTTAAAGTCAAAGAGCTAATATTTATTTGTTGTACTTAATCAAATGCATCTTGATAAACCATAATGCATGAAATAACGATGTATACTCATGATTTATTGTTACTATTATTCTATGTTTGCCCACTACGCCTTCAATCAAAGTACTGCATAGCAGAAACAAGAAAAATAATTTAAAACAAAGTAATAACAAATTTTCGAAATAGGTCCTAGGGCCTATTCATGTTGATAAAATGACGAGGGACAGTCAATTTAAGCATGCAGCCTATGTACAACAAAAGTTGCTGTATAGAAAACAAAAATGTAACACTTATTAATGCAAAGCAGTAGGGGAAGAGGGGAGGGACCTTCCATTACTTACCGGATAATATTCGGAGATAAAATCAGGCTACATTCGTGATTTCTTCATTGATTACCACACACAACTAAGTTATTCGTACAATCTGTCTTTAATTCTCCGTCTTTTACTCTCTCTCACTCTCTCTCTCTCTCTTTCTCTCTCTATCTTAACACTAGGTAAGGATGGTAAAATTCGAGGGATCTACTTTAACTTCCGACGTGACGAGTGGACTATGGTCCTGCCTCGGATCATTTCCGATGCTACGTACTCTCACTATCTCAGACTCCTCTCTCAGCTTATCTTCATCTCCCCCTAAGCTTCCATCCGTCACAGAGCTATCAGCCAAGATAGTGACGTCACAATGCTATAAAAGTTTGCTCAGCTCGTTACCTGACGTGGTAGAGATCGATATCATCACCGATGATGTTGAGACAGACATACCTCAGATTGTGACTGGTCTCAATTGGACCGGAGGACAGCAGCTGACACGCATTAACCTTGCAGCACCGCCAGCACTCCCATCAGAGAAGAACTGTGTATCGAGAGGGACGATAATAGGACTCGGTCTTCTGGTCAGAAAAAAAACCAAGAACCTCAAGTGGCTAAGTCTGAACAGAGTGAAGGTCACAGACGAGGAGGACTTGGTTTACCTCATCGAGTGCTGCAGACATGTGAAGGCGATGTCAGATGTGTGGTATGTTCTTGTTGAACTCGTTTAAAAAATAGATTAAAATCCTATTAGATGATTCTATTCAGTAATTAGTCAGCAGTGGTAAAGCATACTGATACCAATGCGTGAAGGGGTGCAAAGGTTAAAACGTGGGTGTAACCTCCATGTTTTTGACTGAAAGTTAGGATGGGTTTAGTTTTATTTTCGCTCCTAATTGCTATTTTTTCAATGTTCACTCGCAATGAATAGCATTTGGACACCTGTATCGAAAATTTTAATATAAAGTTGCATGTTTTATTATGAACCGACCATTAATTTTTACTTTGAAAAAAATCATAACCTTATAAAAGTAATTATCATTATCATAAATATAAAATATATCATGCACTGAGAGGCTCTAGTTGAAATTATGGATCGAGGTGGCAGAAATAGCACTATTTTCCGAGGGCCATAGCCCCGAAGAAAATAGTGCTATTTATGTCGCCGAGGAATCCATAATTTCACAAGTGGTTTGAAAAAGTGCATTATATATTTGCTTTATATTTTTCAAACCAACCTTCATAAAGAAAATAATAATTCCTGTCACCAAGGAATCCAACCTTCATAAAAATGATAATGTTTTCACTTACCATAAATGTCACTCTAATTGTTTAATCCTGGTCATATATGATTCAGTTTCATCAAAATTCCGATGGTGTACACATGTAGATCTACGTCTATGTAGCTGTAGAATAGGTACATTTTGTCCTCACAAAGCCATGCGGTACTGTAGTACTACTACTATTCGATGGAGAGGACTTTTTCCAAGTGATGCAGACTTGTAATGCACAAACACCTAAATATAAACATGGGATAGTTTCAAATGATAAGCCAACGCGAAAAAGTGAAATCAGAACGTGAACACTTCCAGAAATCCACCAATATCAATGGAACACTAGACACTATTTACATGACTGTCAATGTCATGGTAGTCTAGTCACTTGTTGTATATATGCACCACACATCCACTGTGAAAATGGAAGATGCGTGGGCAGCTCTGAGCATTCACAGGGCTAATACTAACATTGCTTGCAGCAGGCGCGTACACAGGGGGGGGGGGGGGGGGGGGGGGGGGGGGGGGGGGGGGGGGGGGGGGGGGGGGGGGGGGGGGGGGGGGGGGGGGGGGGGGGGGGGGGGGGGTTTGGGGGGTTAACCCCCCTTTGTATTTTTGTGTGTTTAACCCCCCCCTAACTTCCTAAACCCCCCCCCCCCTTTTGGATTTATTTATTTATTTATCTTTTATTTAAAAAAAAAAAAAAAATTCCCATGGCTGACCTAAAAAAGGTAACCTTACCCCCCCCCCCCCCCCAACGGAGCAAAATGTCAAATTTTCAAATTTCGATACCAAAAGAAAAAAAAAAGTGTCCTCTTACCCCCCCCCCCCCCCCCACCCCCCCCCCCCCCCGCTTATTCAGCGGCTGGCTGAGTCGTTGCAAATTTTCGGCCCGATTTATAAATGTTAAACCCCCCCCCCCCCCCCCCCCCCTTGAAAAAATCCTGCGTACGCGCCTGGCTTGCAGTATGGACAGTGACCTGAGCTTGAGGCGGAAGATGAGTTGGAGCCTGAGGTTGAATGTATGTAATGTCTTCAAGTCAGGGGCGTAAATCCGTACCGAGGAGTGGGGGGGGGGGGGGGGGGGAATGATCGGCGATAGCCATCACATACTAGCACGAGCACACGCCCACACTAATTTACGCAAACGCGCGCGATCGCGCACGCACAAACACACACACACACACACACACACACCCAAACGCACACACACACATGCACGCACCCAAACGAACAAACAACATAAACTATTAGAGAAAGAAGACGATTCGTTGTACCATTCTCGAAAATAATCCTCGTCTGAATTCAGTCCCCCCCCCCCCTCCCGCGCAAAGCGCGGAAGCTTTTACGTTTCATAAAATCATTAGAGAAAGAAGACGATTCGTTGTACCGTTCTCGACTTTTAATCCTCATCTGAATTCAGTTTTGCCCTGCCCCTCCAGCGCAAAGCGCGGAAGCTTTTACGTTGCATTAAATCATTAGAGAAAGAAGACTATTCGTAATTGTACCGTTCTCGACTCTTAATCCTCATCTGAATTCAGTTCTCCCCCCCCCCTCCCGCGCAAAGCGCGGAAGCTTTTACGTTTCATAAAATCATTAGAGAAAGAAGACGATTCGTTGTACCGTTCTCGACTTTTAATCCTCATCTGAATTCAGTTTTGCCCTTCCCCCTCCAGCGCAAAGCGCGGAAGCTTTTACGTTGCATTAAATCACTAGAGAAAGAAGACTATTCGTTGTACCGTTCTCGACTCTTAATCCTCATCTGAATTCAGTTCTCCCCCCCTCCCGCACGAAGCGCCTAAGCTTTTATGTTTCATTAAATCATTAGAATAAGAAGACGATTCGTTGTACCGTTCTCGACTTTTAATCCTCATCTGAATTCAATTTTGCCATTCCCCACTCCCGCGCAAAGCGCGGAAGCTTTTTACGTTTCATAAAATCATTAGAGAAAGAAAACGATTCGTTGTACCGTTCTCGACTTTTGATCCTCATCTGAATTCAGTTTTGCCCTTCCCCACTCCCGCACGAAGCGCGGAAGCTTTTACGTTTCATTAAATCATTAGAGAAAGAAGACGATTCGTTGTACCGTTCTCGACTTTTAATCCTCATCTGAATTCAGTTTTTCCCTCCCCCTCCCTTCTCCGCGAAGCGCGGAAGCTATTACGTTTTATTAAATCATTAGAGAAAAAAGACGATTCGTTGTACCGTTCTCGACTTTTAAACCTCATCTGAATTCAGTTTTGCCCTTCCCCCTCCCGCGCGAAGCGCGGAAGCTTTTACGTTTCATTAAATCATTAGAGAAAGAAGACGATTCGTTGTACCATTCTCGACTCTTAATTTCTTTAAAAAGGGGGTGGGTTTTTCTCTCTCTCTCTGTGGACTCCTGAGAAATGTAAAAAGGAGGTTAGGCGAGGCGTCAAAAATAAATATACCAGCCAGCGGCAGCTAACTGCACTTGTGCGTCCTGGCTGCATTTTTTAAATTAGCTCAGCCGGCTACCGCTGGCGGTAGGAAATGGCATTCAAAAGCATGCACCGGCTGCCGCCTTTCGAATGGAAACAAAGCCCAGATCCCAGCCTGGCGCAAGCCGGCTGGGCTTATAAGTGAAAAATAATTGCCCCAGCCAGGCTTAGGCCGTAATTGCAGCCTCGATGCGCCAATACGTGAGGCGGCAGCCTGCTGGTATCGATATTTTTGACGCCTCGCCTTATAAAATATCATGAATATCATAGAAAAATTGATCAAATCCCGGGATCAAATTCCTGAAATTCCTGCTAGCTTTGAAAGCTCATTCAGGATTATTTCATTTTGAAAAGTAAAAGCATTGGCCCCCAGTCCCCCTCGATCGACTAAAGCTCACCTGAAATGGGGGGGGGGGGGGGGGGGGTTGGTACATTTAGCAGTGTTCCGGATTTCGGGGGGGGGGGGTCTCCAAGGCAGGAAAAGCCAGCGAAAAGCCGGCGAAAGGGGGATTCAGAAATGTTGGCAGTCCTGAGATAGGGTGGGGGGGGGCATCTTACGTCTAGGCTATAATAATACCTTGCAAAATAGCGAAAAATTATTCTGAAGTTTATGAAGTGCTTGTTCGTGCACGTCGCGCAACTACTCTTAATGATCGTGACATACTGTATACGTGTAGGCTATACAGTTATACATACATAAACAAAAATAACTAATTTTTCATGCATTATGCTAAAATTGAAACAATCACCTTTTTTTCTTCTTCTTCTTCCTTTTTTTCTCTCTTTTTTTTTAAATCTCGGGGGGGGGGGGGGGATATTTGTACAGGCTCCCCCCCTCCTTCGATCCAGGGGGTATGCATCACCCATCCCCCGGGATTTACGCCCCTGTACATAATTATATCATAATTTCCGAATTAACAATTAAATTTATCAAAACAAATAACCTTCACGGACAGAAAACTTACACCCCTTTTATACTGAGCGGCGAGCTTTAGACCGTTCCTAAAATGGTCTAACCTGCAACGGCGCTTTATACTGACCGTTCGACCACACACGGCGCAATCAAGATCAGCGCAGTCGTCACGGTGACCTATATAAGCCCCCTACCTTCCCTAGATCGCGCGGGCGGGGAAAATTGTTCTTCATTCCTAGCGCGAGAGAGCAGAGCATACATGCGGTGCAATATGCAGAAGACTGCGTGGCCGGCCGGCCGGGGCGCTGCCCAATGTATTTTGTGTATATAGTGGGATTCTTATTATTCTGAAGTTTATGAAGTGCTTGTTCGCGCACGTCGCGCAGCTATTCTTAAGGATAGTGACATACTGTATACGTGTAGGATATATAGTTATACATACATTAACAAAAAACTAATTTCTCATGCATTATGCTGAAATTGAAACAATCACATTTTTTTCTTCTTCTTCTCCTTTTTTTTGTAATACCAGGGGGGATGTTTGTACAGGCCACCCCCCTACTTCAAGCCAGGGGGGATGTAGCCCCCCCCCCCCCCCACCCCCGGGATTTACGCCCCTGCTTCAAGTGGATATGAATATGCATCCGGGATATTGTTGAATACACGTTCAAGCTGACTGTCTGTCATGGCTTCTATATCAGTATCACCAACGTTGTCATTATCTGCAAAGCTTGAGCCCTTATAGTTGAGGTGGACGGCCGGTCAATCTTGTTACTTTCGACAGTGTCAGCAGCATCATATGGTGGCCCTGAAGGGACATCGCGAATAGACTAAATCGTGAAAAATATGCGATAAAATTCACGATATCGTCAATTTTATCGCATATTTTTCACGAAGAAATTCACGAAATTGACGATATCGTGAACTTTATCGTGAACTTTTCACGATGAAATTGACGATATCGTGAATTTTATCGTGAAAAGTTCACGATATAAAGTTCACGATATCGTCAATTTTATCGTGTACTCTATCGTGTACTCTATCGTGTACTCTCCTGACGGGCGCTTCGTAAACAAAACCAG